GACTTACCCCATTTCAGTCATCAGGCAAGTTCTTAAGATTTGAAGTGCCCTGTGTTCGCCAACCATCTGGTGGGTGGGCATCAGAATCTGGTAAGGGTTTCAGACCACTCAGAACCATTGCAAGGCCTAAGAAAAATCAAGTTTTAAATTTTAGTTAAGTCTTAATCAGTTTCATCTTTTATGAATCATAGTTTTGGTTTTGTGTCTAGAAAGTCATCATAAGCCCAAAGTTACCGAAATATTTTCCTATGTTATCTTCTAGGAGTTTTATAGTTTGGCATTTTCACTGAGGTCTCTGATTCATTCTGAGTTAATTTTTGTGGAAAGTGTAAGATCTGTGTCTATATTCATTTTTTTGGCATAGAATGTCCGCTTTCTATACCATTTGTTGAAAAGACGGCTGTCTTCTCTGAATTATCTTTGAGCCTTTATCAAAGAATAGTTGACTATATTTGTGTAGGTATATTTCTAGGCTCTCTATTCTATTCTCATCTATTTGTCTCTTATTTTGCCAATGCCATTCTGCCTTGATTATTGTAGCTTTATAGTAATGTCAGCTCTCCGACTTTGTTTCTTTGCTTTTTTTGAGATGGAATCTCACTCTGTCACCCAGGCTGGAGTGCAGTTACATGATGTCAGCTCACTGCAACCTCTGCCTCCCAGGTTCAAGTGATTCTCCTGCCTCAGACTCCTGAATACCTGGGATTACAGGTGTGTGCCACCATGCCCGGCTAATTTTTTGTATTTTTAGTAGAGACAGGGTTTCACCATGTTGGCCAGGCTGGTCTCGAACTCCTGACCTCAGGTGATCCACCTGCCTCAGCCTCCCAAAGTGCTGGGATTACAGGTATGAGCCACCATGCCCAACCTGTTGTTGTTTTTTTTTTTGGGGACAGAGTCTCACTCATTCTCTTGCTCAGACTGGAGTGCAGTGATGTGATGTTGGCTCACTGCAACCTCCATTTCTGGGGTTCAGGTGATTCTCCTGCCTCAGCCTCCCGAGTAGCTGAGATTACAGGTGCATGCCACCACGCCTGGCTAATTTTTGTATCTTTAGTAGAGATGGGGTTTTACCATGTTGGCCAGGCTGATGTCAAACTCCTGACCTCAAGTGATCCTCCTGCCTCAGCCTCCCAAAGTCCTGGGATTATAGGCAAGAGCCATTGTGCCCAGCCTGACTAATTTATTTTTATTTTTTTTAGAGATAGGGTCTCACTATGTTGTTGCCTAGGCTGATCTTAAGCTTCTGGGCTCAAGTGATCCTCTTGCTTTGGCCTCCCAAAGTTATGAGCCACTGTGCCTGGCTCTGAAATGAATGTTATTAAAAAAGAAGATAAGACCTAGGGCACAAGAGGGTTTACATGTATGTTTACAGCCTTTCACCAAGATTGTGTCAGTAATTTACCCATAAACAGTTTATTAGCATGGGCAACATAGGGAGATCCTGTCTTTACCAAAAAAAAAAAAAAAAGAGAAAAGAAAATAGCTGGGCATGGTGGTATATGCCTGTTGTCCCAGCTACTTGGGAGACTAAGGTGGGCGGATTGCTTTAGCCTGAGAGGTTGAGGCTATAGTGAGCTGCGATCTGCCACTGCACTCCAGCCTGGGCGACAGAGTGAGACCCTGTCTCAAAAAAAAGAAAAAGAAAAAGTTTGTTTTCTTTGTCCATTTCAGTTTTTGGAAGCATCTTGTATTTTAATTAATTTCAGTATAATGAGAATACTTACACTAATGCTTTTGAAATAAGTAAAATAAAGGAAAAGAGCAAAAAGTCATATATTTTACAGTCAGTGCTTTAAGTATAGTTGCTCAGTTTTTGGAGTTTTTAAACCTTCTTATAAAATGCTCTGAATGTGGTTAGTTCTGTTTATTCGGATTAGTGGATTACATTGGTAATCCACCCAGTTAAGAATGTCATAGAGTTTAGAATCAGAAGTTGTCTTGGAGGTGGTTGTGCTAATTTCCTACAATTGCTACATAATGCAGAGATCTCTTTGGTAATAATATCCATGCATCTATTACAGATCTGATCTCCGTCCAAGTCCTGTATACTGCTTTGTAAGGCAGTCAGTTCCATGATAATTGAATGGGTCATAAAGTTATTTTCTTAGTTGAAGAATAGTTTATTTCTCTGTGCTCTGTAGCAATAAAGGAGTATAAAGACCAAATTATATCTTTTAGGTATATATATAGTATTTAGACAGAGATACATATCCACATATATAGGGTATAATCCTTTGCTTGCTTTCTGCATTCTTTCCTTATTTTGAGATATCTCCTGTCATTTATTATTTTCTTTGTTTTATATCTGGTTACTTAGAAATGTTGGGATAGTCTGGTGTGGTGGTTCATAACTGTAATCCCAGCACTTTGGGAAGCTGAGCAGGTGAATCACCTGAGGTCAGGAGTTCGAGACCAGCCTGGCCAACATGGTGAAACCCCATATCTAATAAAAATACAAAATTAGCTGAGTGTGGTGGCAAATGCCTGTAGTCCCAGCTACTAGGGAGGCTGAGACAGGAGAATCATTTGAACCCAGGAGGTGAAAGTTGCAGTGAGCCAAGATTGCGCCACTGCACTCCAGCTGGGTGAGACAGAGTGAGACTCCCTCTCAAAAGAAAAAAAAAGTTGGAATAAAGCAATGAATAATGATAATAAGTAATACCCTTGTAGGATTGTTATGAGAATTAAATGATCACATGTATGAAGCACATATTTAGCACAGTGCATGGCACATGGTAAACATTTAATAAATGCTAACCGTACAGTGATGGTAATGGTTCCTATCAAGCCTTTTAATGCTAGATTAATAGGGAAGATAATGGTAAACAACTAACTATAATAAAGGCCGAATAAAATAAGTGCTATAGTAGAGACAGAAGCAAAGTTCTTATTTATCCTAATAAGGGAGCAACTAATTTTATTACTGGTAGCAGGTCTTGACTGAAAGTTGTCCAGGTTCTAGGTGTTTTGAACAAAGAATTGGACAAAATGCACAGCAAAGCAAGGAAAGAATGAAGCAATGAAAGCAGAGATTTATTGAAAATGAAAGTACACTCCACAGGGTGGGAGCAGGCCTGAGCAGCCACTTTAAGGGTCCTGTTACAGAATCTTCTAGGGTCCATATACCCTCAGAGGTTTCCCATTGGCCACTTGGCATTCACACCATGCAAATGAAGTGGTGGCCTGCTATCAGAGGCTGAAATTACAAAGTTACATTCCTATGTGAAACATCTGATTGGTTGTGAAAAACAACAATCAGATGGAGGGGTGTTGCAAAGGGAGTAGCCTTTAGTCCTTTTGTTACTTAGGCATGGAAAGTTGGGGTTTCCCTTTAGATTTAGTTCTAGGTCGGCCTTATGTCCCTGGAGACCCTATTCTCCTTCCCTAATTTCAGTTGGAGAATGAGGAAGGGGAGGAATTTTTCTTTCCTAAACTTTGAAATATGCATAGGATCTCCTTAAAGAGAAGGGATGGCATTGAGGGTTTACCATCAGCAAATGCGTGGAGCTAGGAAAGTGCATGGTCTTTTTGATGAACTTTAAGTAGTCATGTGTGACTGAGGGCTTGGGCATGTGGAAGGTCTGAGGAAGACTGAGGGTGGGAAGTAAGGATGATATATAGAGAAGTCAGGCTGTAGAGGGCTTTGAAAACAATAATGGGATGTTGGTACATTGTCCTAGATATTTAATTCCATATATTTTCCGGTCTTTGAACAGAGGACCAGGATTGTAATCTTATGGCAAAATAGATGTGATTATTATATGCAGATAATTAGTGGTTCCTGTTTTTAAAGTTTTGTCCTAAGGGGCTAATGCAAAGTGTGTAGCAGGAGAAAATGGTTGCTATAATCCAGAGTGTGAAATGGAAACCATTGCAGACTGTGGAAAAATGAGTCTTTTAGAGTAAGCCCAGGAATCTTTTGTAAATACATTCAAGGCTTTTGATACTTAGAGGATTAAACAAATTTATTAGACAATAACCTTCTCTTTCAAAGAATCTCAATCTCTAGATTAGGTGAAAGGATTGGGTCGGTATGTACATGGGAAAAAGACCTGGGCTCTTCTGGTTGACTGCGCCTGTAATGGAAAGTAGATTTACCCCAGGAGAGTAGACTGGCTTTCAGCCTGAGGGAGAGCTGTAAGCATATTTTAAGTGTGAGCTGAGCACTTGGCTTCTGTTTTTAAGTCTCTGAGGATAATTGTCTGACAGAGGGAACTAGCTTTTGGGGATGAATCTGCTGTGCCCAGACTTTAGCATTGCCAACATTCTCCTTTTGATATGAGTTGATTTGGCCATCTCTTAATCTTATCTTGTATTTTTGTTGATTTTTACTATTGTTTATGAAGCTTTTGCATTTCCAAACTTGTCATTTCAAATCACTAAAGAGTCTGGTTGGAGAAATTGTTAGGAAAAGAGCCTGGTTAGGAAATTAAGACCTGATTGATTACTGGTGAAAGGAGAATTGAATTGAAGTTCACAGCAGTTGCTTTATTGGCTGGATAGAATGACCAGTAAGTCACTATTTTCATTTTTTGACTTTGGCCTCTTTTCCTGCTTGTATAGATGATCTGGCATCTATACTGAACTAGCATCAGGGGTGAGTGTATGTGTTAATCTTTGATTATCTGTTGGTGTGAGATGGATTTTACATGTCTATCAGAATCCTTCTGTGGAAAAAAGCAAATTACTACTTAGTTTATGTTCCAGGGAATACTAAAGCTATTATGCAGGTATGTAGCACTCATAGTGCTTTTCAGAAATATTTCATGTCTGTCGTCACTTCATTCTCCAGCCACCTTGTAAATGAGATAGGGCAGGTATCATTTCTGTTTGACAGAGGGAATGCCAAGGCATAAATAAGAGACTGGATTATGATTTCTGGCTCAATAAATAAATGACTGAGACAACTTATTACATTTCATTTTGAACTGCAACTTTCAGAAAATTTTATGGGAGGAAAAGGCTGAATGCCTTCTCTCTTTGTTGTTATTTTTCAGCGGCGTCTTCGACATCTTCGGAACATTGCTGCCCGGAACATTGTTAATAGAAATGGCCATCAGCTCCTTGATACCTACTTTACGCTTCACTTGTGTAGTACTGAAAAGATTTATAAAGGTAAGGGAATCTGTGGACTTGCTACCTACAGATTGACTCTCAGTGCCTCCTGCTGTTACTGCTTCTTAGAAAGCTAAATTGTTACGCTGTCTGAAAATATCTCATGAGTAGTTGGGATGTATGCTAACGAAACATGGCGACTGGAATAGTTATTTCAGATAACTGAGGCTTACATTGATAACTTTCTCATTCCTTTATGAATGTTAGTTATTAATGGTCTAGTAGGTGGCATTTCAAGTAGATTGAATCCAGTATCCTGTAGTAATTTTACCTTTGTGAAAATATAATAAAATTCTTTTCTTTAATATTATGATAAAATAGGGGCCTAGTTTTTATCTTCTCGTATCTGTAATTCCCTGTATATATGGGATCATTTCAGAAGAATGGCATAGTTTTTTCTAATTCAATTTTATATATTGTACTGTAGATTCTTCTATAAGTGAAAATTCTAAGAGTGGATCATATATTTGATTACAAATCACAGTCACCTTTCGAAGGCATATTAAATGAGAGGCACTGAGATATAATCAGTTGGCTTAGGTGGGATGGCGTAAGAGAGGAAAGAAGCATGGTAAAATGACAGGAATGTTGGATTGTGATGGATCATATGATCCTCATGAAAATCTTGATATGATTAAAGATCTATTTATGTTAACAAAAGGTGACACCTTTTTAACAAAAGGTTCTGAGACTTATTTGAATCTTGTCCAGTGGCAAAGATGAAAAATTCAAGTGACATTTTATTTATTTATTTATTTATTTATTTATTTATTTTCGAGATAGGATCTTATTCTGTCACCCAATCTAGAGTGCAGTGATATGATCATGGTTCACTGCAACTTTGACCTCCCGGACTCAAACGATCTTCTTGTCTCAGTCTCCCAAGTAGCTGGGACTATAGGCCTGAGACACCAGTCCAGGCTAACTTTGAAAAAAATTTTTGTGGAAATGGGGTCCTAAATGTTTCTTGGGCTGGTCTCGAACTCCTGGAATCAAGCTATGCTTCTGCCTCGGACTCCTAAAGTGCTGGGATTATAAGTGTGAGTTACTGTCCCTAACCTTTTTTAAGTTTTAATTATTTATTAAAGCAGTGATTGTTTTAACAACTTTTTTCTTTTTTCCTTTTTATATATCAGTACCAGTATCTGCTCTTTAAAAAATTCAGTCAAGAAATATACAATGAAGAAGCCCCTTTATAGTAAAATAGCCTTAAAATATTTTTTAAGGATGGGAAAAGGACTCTAAATTCTACCATCCTCATGTAAATTTATTTTATTCTCACTTTTCAGTCTATCCATTGCATTAAAAAAATTTTTTTTTTTTTTTTTTTTTTTTTANTTTTTTTGAGACAGAGTCTTGCTCTGTCGCCCAGGCTGGAGTGCAGTGGCACGATCTTGGCTCACTGCAAACTCCACCTCCTGAGTTCAAGCTATTCTCCTGCCTCAGCCTCCTGACTAGCTGGGACTATAGGTGCCCACCACCACGCCTGACTGATTTTTGTATTTTTAATAGAGACGAGGTTTTGCCATGTTGGCCAGGCTGGTCTCAAACTCCTGACCTCAGATGATCCCACTCCTGCCTTGGCCTACCAAAGTGCTGGGATTACAGGCATGAGCTACCGTGCCCAGCCCATTACATATTTTTAAAACAATGTATTCATCTTAATGATTAATGCTAGCTACTGTAACAAATACCACAACTCTTAGTGACTTACTGAAATACATTTCTTACACTAAGTCCAGTGCAGGTATTATCAGGTGCTATCTTGGCAGCTGTCCTCTTAAGCATTGACTCAGGTATTCAGGTTCCTTCTAGTTTGGGCTGCTGCTGTCCTCAATACATGGCCTCTGGTATGGCCAGAGATAGAAGGCTTACTTGTGGGAGATTTTTAAATGAAATGGTCCACATGAATTTTATTACATTCTATTGGTCATAAATCAGTTGCATTGTCCTTTTCAATTTTTATTTTATTTATTTTTGAGATGGAGTCTTGCTCTGTTGCCCAGGCTGAAGTGCAGTGGTGCCATCTCAGCTCCTTGTAACTTCTGTCTCCAATGGTCAAGTGATTCTCCTGCCTCCACCCCTCGAGAAGATGGGATTATAGGCATGCACCTCCACTACCAGCTAATTTTTGTGTTTTTTGTACAGAAGGGGTTTCACCATGTTGGCCAGGTGTTCTCAAACTACTGACCTCAAGTGATGTGCTCATCTTAGTCTCCCAGAGTGCTGAGATTATAGGCGTGAGCCACTGCACCCGGCCTACATTGTCCTTTTTAGATGGAAAGGGGACTGGGAAATGTAGGCCTCCAATGTGTCCAGAAGGAAAATGAAACAATTTGGTTACTATTTGGTTTAAGGGTATAAGCATTTTTGTAGGCTTTAAAACATTTAGTCTACTGCTCACTAATTGGCTATATCATTAGCAATATATGACAGAGCTGGAGTATTTTAAATTTTTGATGAGTTTCTATATAATCAGTCCTGATTATCTTAATAAAACTTCTGTGTTCTTGCCCCAGTGTTACCTCTGATAATAGTAATTAACACCAGTTCTTAGCACATTTTGGGAATTTGGAAAATGATAGCAATGATTAGAATTATAATAATCATAATAGTGTTTTCTAAAAAGAGAGTAGTCATGGGGCTGGTTAATGATCATGTTAAAAACTTGTCTAGAGATATGATGAAAGCAAAGTGACTTTTTTTGTTTTTGTATTTTCTTTCTTCTAGCTCAGATTGTGTCTTGAATTTAGGAGTTATCATAGACTGTTTTTTGAAGTTACTTTAGTGAGATAATCATCACACAGTTAGTGAATAGCTGGTGACAGACCATGGGGGCAGTCCTGGGTCTGGTGTAGATGTTGAATCTGCCGCTAGCTGTCAAGCCTCTTGGATAGGGCATTTAGTTCCTCTTGTGGGGTTTAATTTATCATTAAAATGAAGGAACTGGTGATTTCTGAGAATTCCTCCTATTCCAAAATGTCATGGTTGATTGAAGCGTATTCATGAACTTTGTTGGGCTTTGTAAACTTTTAACTACCATAGGAGGAGCTGGGAAGCCCTTTCGTTAGTAATTCTAGTGAATGCTACTGTATCTTGTTGGTCAGACCAGTCATGACAAACATGAATATTTTGTGATTATTATTTGGTCCTTGATATAGTACAACCATGATAAGAGACCAGTTGACTCTTCTCCATGAACCACCTGTACCACCTGTTCAGTGGTAATATTTCTTAATGTCAGAAGACAGTGTTTTGTTGCAAGAATATCTGAAATGCTGGTTTCTCAATTTTTCTTTTATTTCAGCTAAATTCACAGCAGATCCAAAGGAGATATGTGTGAAATTTATGAAGAAATATGTGAAATTTTTTTGACTTTTGACATCCCTATAGTGCTTTTAGGAGATTGTCTATTTTTAAGATATTTCCAATCAAATATTAGTTAATATATCCCCAGAGAACAAAGCCTTGTGTTAATGGATGGATAGGTTCTAAACTTGGTTCCCTGTTAAACTTGGAATTTTTATACAATCAAGTTTGTTTTTCATAGTTATTTTCTTACCCGTGAAATGTAAGTGCCTGTCCTCTCCTGGAATACTGACTATCTTCAATACATCAGAAGATGAACTCTATATGACCTAATTTGGTGATCTTATTCAAGTCTCAAAGTTTTATTTATTTATTTTTATTTATTTTTTGAGACAGAATCTCACTCTGTCAACCAGGCTGGAGTGCAGAATCATAGCTCACTGTAGCCTCAACCTTCTGGGCTCAGGTGATTCTTCCCACTCAGCCTCCCGAGTAGCTGGGACTACAGGCACACACCACCATGCCCGGCTAGCTTTTTTTATTGTTTGTAGAGCTGAGTTTTGCCATGTTGCCCAGGCTGATCTCAAACTTCTGGGCTCAAGCCATCCACCTGCCTTGGTCTCCCAAAGTGCTGGGATTACAGGCAGGAGCCACCAAGCCTGGCTCAGGTCTTACGGTTTTAAATGTCACCTGTTGACCTTTCTTCTGAACTCATACCCCTGTAATTCAGTTGCCTACTCTACAACTCCATTTGGAGCCGAGTAGGTGACAAACTTGGTATGTTCAAAACTGAGCTTCTGATGTTCCAGCTGTGATCTACTTCCTGTATTCTTCCTTATATCAGAAAATGGCAACTCTTTTCGTTGGCCAAAAACTTTGAAATTATCCTGGATTGTCCTGTTTCTCTTACATTCCATATCCAGTCTTTCAGCATATACTTCTGGCTCTTACTATCAAAATATATTCATAACCGGATCACTTCTTGCTATCCTCAAACCACCGTCATCTTTTGCCTGCATTGTGGAAGTAGAAGTTTAACAGGTTTGTCTGCTCATGCAACTCCCTCAGTCTGTTTTCAACTTTTATTAAAATGAAAGTTCGATCCCTTTATTTCTCTCCTCAAAACCCTCCAGGGGCTTCCCATCTCATTCAGAGTAAAAGCTAAACTCCTTATGGTTTTCTAGAAGGCCTTTGATGATATGATTCTTGGTTACCCCTCCGAACTCATCTTCTGCTGCTCCTCCAGCTGTCTGTGTTCCAGCCAGCTGATGTTGTAGCTGTTGCTTGAATGCATTGGTTTTAACTAACTTAAAAACCTCTGCATTTGCTGTTTCTTTGACTTGGATACTTTTCCTTTACATATTCACATGACTAGTGCTTCCAGCTTCTTGCAGATCTTTCTTTTTTCCTTTTTTTTTTGAGACAGAGTCTTGCTCTGTTGCCCAGGTTGGAGTGCAGTGGCACAGTCCCAGCTCACTGCAACCTCCACCTTCTGAGTTCAAGCGGTTCTTCTGCTTCAGCTCGAGTACAGGTGTGCGCCATCACACCCACCTAATTTTTGTATTTTTAGTAGAGATGGGGTTTCACCGTGTTGGCCAGGATTGTCTCGATCCCTTGACGTCGTGATCTGCCTGCCTCAGCCTCCCAAAGTGCTGGGATTCCAAGCGTGAGCCACCCTGCCTGGCCATTTTTTTTTTTTTTTCCTTTCAATTCTGCTTCTTCTGAATTGCAGGTTTTTATTCCAAATATTTCTCATAGAAAGTCTCCTTGATCACTGACTAACCCTTTTATAAATTGTGATTATTTTCCTCCATCTTTTGTGCTTTATTTTTCTCCGTGGTACTTAAGATCACTTGACATACTATATGTTTAATTATTTGATTATTGTATGTCTCTTTCCACTAGAATGTAAGCTCTATGAAGGCAGAGATTTTTAGGTCACTTTTGCTCATTGCTCTGTCCCCAATATGCAGAACCATGCTTGACACATACTAGGCCCTCAAATATTTTTATCTTTTTAATTTAATTTTTTAATAGGTAAAAAAAAAATATATATATATATGTAAAGATATAAAGGTTTGTATTAAAGGCTCTCTTTCACCTGCCTTCCATCACCTTAGTTTTCTACCCCACCCTGATAACCACTGTTGCTCATTTCTTGTTTGTCTTTACTGAGATTCCTTCTACAAATATAAGTACAAGTACAAATATTCTTATTCCTTTCTCTCCTCTTTTTTTTTTTTTTTTTACACAAAATGTACTGTACTATTTATGTTTCTATACCTTCCATTTTTCACTTACTGTCTTAGAGTTTTCTCCATATTGATTCATAGACAGCATCCCTGTTTTTTTTGTTTTTGTTTTTGTTTTTTCTGTATAGCTTGCATCGAATAGATACACCATAATTAATTTAACTGGCTCCTATTGGTGGTCCCTTAGGTTGTTCTAGTTGTTTTTTTTTTTTTTGAGACGGAGTTTCACTCATGTTACCCAGGCTGGAGTGCAATGGCGCGATCT